TAATAGTTGAAGTTGCTTACCTTCTCTCTGCCTTATATTTCTTGACCACACATGTTACATATGAGTATTCCAATTATAATCTCTTTAGATGTCCTATAACCTGCTCATAAGGTCTGTCTTCATTTCCAGTTTAGATCATAGAACACATGACTCACTGAGAAGCCAAATCAAGTGAACAAGCATTTATTAAGGGCCTACTATGTGCCAGGCACTATGCTAAGGATACTAAGAGAAAAAAAAAAGGCAAAAGTCTTTACCCTCCTGGAACTCACAATCTAATGGAGCGAGACAAACCAAATTCTCTATACAAACAAGATAAATACAGGATAAATTGGAAATAATGTCAGAGGGAAAGCACTAAGATTAAGGACTAGGAAAGGTTTTTTGCAGAAAGAGGTATTTTAGCTGAGACTTGAAGGAAGCCAGTGAAGTCAGGAGGCAGAAGTGAGGAAGGTGAAAATTCCAGGAATAGGGGACAGCCAATAAAAATGCACAGAGTTGAGAGATGGAGTTGTCTTGTGGGAATAACAACAAGGCCAGTGTACGTGGAGGGAGTAACGTATAAGAAGACTGGAAAGGGCCAGGTTAGGAAGGGCTTTAAAAGCCTAACAGAGAATTTTTATATTTGATCCTGGAGGCAATAGGGAGCCCCTCCAGTTTACTGAATAGGGGAGGGTGATATAGTCAGATGTATGCTTTAGAAACATCACTTTAAGAGCCGAATGGAGGATGGGCCAGAGTGGGGAGAGAGTTGGGGCAGGAAGACCAATGTTAAGGCTATTGCAATAGTAAGGTGATGCTAAAATGGTGGCAGTGTCAGGAGAGAGGGTGTGTATACAAGAGATGTGGTGAAGTTAGAATCAACAGGACTTGACCATTGATTGAACATGGGAAAGGGGGCAATGAGCGAGGAATTGAGAATGACATCTAGGTTGTGAGCATGGGTGACTGAGAAGTGGTGATGCCTTTGACAATAATAGGGAAAATAGTAAGGAGAAGGGTACTCAGAGGGGGGGAGGGGGAACTGAGGGAAGGGAGGGAGGGTGAAATAATGAGTTCATTTTTGATCTTGTTGAGTTTAATATGTCAATGGGACATCCAATTTGAGATGGAGATGGAGATGTGAGACTAGAAGTTAGGAGAGAGGTTAGGGAAATAGATACAAGAATATGAGAAAAAGTTACCATAGTCAGCAGTTATAATTGCCAGAGGTTTCATTGATGTGATTAGAGAAGGATCTTGGCAAAGATGGATTCAATGGACAAATAATTCTCGGAAATAGCAACCTAAATGTCCTTTTAAAATCTGTTTGAGTGGTAGGATATGCCAGTTCAACAAGTTCTCAGAAAGCATTTGAATTACAAATAACTATATAACTATGCATCTAACTTCTCATTAGCACTACTATCAGTCTCTTTAAGTAGTATACAGATACTCTTAGATGCATGAAATTAAGAGAATAAAGACATCTACAAAGACTTTTCCTCTTGAGTAAGAAAATCTAAGCTATAACTAAGCAGCTAGGTGACAGACCAAAGTCTAATACTCAAGTACAGAGTCCTAATTACTGGACTTTGATCTATTATTTATCTGCCTACTGGATAGAGTGCTGGACCTAGAGTCAGTAAGTGCAATCCTGCCTCAGACATTTACTAGCTGTGTTACCCTGAGCAAGTCACTTGATTTCTCTAAGCCTCAGTTTCTCCTTCTGCAAAATGGAAATGATAATAGCACCTACCTCAGAGGATTGCTATGAGAATCAAGTGAGATAACATGTAAAATGCTTTGTAATCCTTAAAGTACTACTATGTAAATGTTATTTTACCTATCAATACAAATCATGACTGACATCCATTTACCCCCATATTGGCCATCTGGAACCTGGAATGGCCTGGGAAAAATCTTCCATTTCTGTGCGCAGACAACATCTGAACTCTGCAAAGTTAGGTCACATATCTGGGTTAAACAAAGGACTCTGGGATAGAGGCCTTTACCTTATAGGACTATTTTTATCTGGTGATTTCTGCTAGAATCATGTTTATTCTCAGGAGTGTCTCAAAAGGCAAAATTAGCCAAGCTCTTGTTCCAACCTTTTCCTAAGCCACTGTTTTTCTATCACTATTTCTAAGTGACATTGCATTCATCCCCAAGAAAATCATCCACACTCTGCTTGAGGTTTTGCCAGTGACAAGGCATTCTAAAGCATGATGTATATTGTGGCTCTCATCAATCCACTCCAATACAGTCTAATCATCATTTATTAAGTGCCTGCTACATGCAAAGGTTCTGGAGATACAAAGACAAAATAAAAAATAGTCACTGCCCTCAAGGAGCTTACATTCTACTAAGGGAGGGAAATACATCATGCAAACATGTAAGTATACAGATAATTTGAGAAGGAAAGAGAGGGTACTAACAACTAAGGAGATCAGAAAAGTCTCCCCATAGGATATGGGACCTGAGCTGAGTCTTGAAGGAAGCTAAGGTTTAAGAAGCAGAGGTAAAAAGGGGATACATTCCAGGCATGGTGGACAGCCTATGCAAAGCACAGAGATGGGAGATGGGAATAGCAAATAGGCCAATTTGACTGGAATACAATAAGATCAGAAAGGTGGTCTGGAGCTAAGTCGCAAAGGACTTTACATACTAAGGTGAGGCAAGAGGAAGCCACTGACAGTTCTTGAGCAGGGAGTGACATAGTCAAATTTGTACTTTAGGAAGATTATTTTGGCATATCTATGGAGAATGGATTAGTGAGTGGAGGTCCTGGAAGCTGGAAGTCCAATTAGGAGGCAGTTGTGATAGTAGTCCAGGGTAAAGGTGATCAGGGCTTGAGGTAGGGTGGTACAAGAAATGTCATGAGGGTAGAATGAACAAGACTCAGCAACTAGTAGGATATAGAGGGTGAAGGAGAGGGAAGGGCAGAGAAAACTTCGAGGCTATGAACTTGGGTGACTGTGAATGGTTGGTAGTGCCCTGAACAGAATTAAGGAATTATAGAGAATAGGTGGGTTTTTTTGGAGGAAAGATGAATGAGTTCAATTATTTCTAATGCATGTAGCTATATTAATGAAGCTATTAACAGTTTGTCAGGGCTTTTGTAGAGAGAAGTAAAATGTGTCCATACAGACCAAAGTCCAGTTCCTGAGTACTCTGTGGTTTGAACTATGCTTGCATTGCAAGAAGACAATCAAAATGGTGTGGTCTCGCCAGACCAAAATAACCCTCCCCTCAGCAGAATAACACACCACAAATAACACAGACTATGAGAGTAAAGTTCAGGTGTGGGGGGTTTTTAATTATTATTTTTACTAACTTGTGTCTTACAGCAGAAGGGAGAAGGAAGAGAAGTTGGGAGAGAAGAAAAATGACTATTCTAAACCCTTGAATTTAATAGGACAGGAAAATTTAGTGAAACTACAACTACCATAATTATCACCACAGAGCCCTGGAGTGAAAATGTGTAAAAAGAGATAAGCAAAACTCTTCAGCTGCGATGAAAGCTATCATAAGCAGTTAGGGCTTTATTTTCCTACATCATACTTGGCAGGTATCAGTCGGCACAAATAAGGCTATGAGATGCAGAAGCTGCTCCGCTAGGGAGACTTAATGAGTTGGCCACATAGGACCCACTTCCCAGGCAGGAAAATGGGGCATCTAAAACTCTGCATTCAAGGTCAAGACAATTTATGGGTGGAGCACAATTTAAGAAATGAAAGTTCATATTTTTTCCTCTTTTCTATCTGCTGGTGGTTTTGATTGACTGAAAAGGAGTTATTTGTATTGTTTCCTTCAACTGTACTTTGTGTCATAGTGAGGCCCAGTTACATAAAATATGCAGTGAGACTCTTGGGTTATAAGGGAACATAGATAGACAAGGCTTCACTAGAACCTCGGTTGGAAGGAAGGAAAGATACAAATGTGACTTTATCTAAAGGACAATATGTCTTCTCATGAGACCATGGGCAGACTAATGCTACATCATCACAAATGAATAATCACAGATGAATGGAGTCCTTGGCTGCTTCATTCTTAGAAATATGTCTCTTCTAGTTTATCCTAAATCTATCAGGCTGCTCACAGCTTAGAATCATTACTAATGTGCTTCTAGAGTTGAGGTGAAAGCGTACACTCCTAACACAGTGAATTTTTGACTACATGTATTTGAGTCATGAACTAACCAAACTAGGAAAGATTAGCATTTTTTATGTGAGGGGAAGAGAACTATCAAAATGCATCATTCATTGCCAAGTTCCTTTTTTAACTACAACATGTTAGATGATGTGAAATGGTCATGAGAAGTCATCACATATATCACAGAAATGACCACCATGCATCTAGTCACCCACTGGGCACAGTGGGCTGCAAGGGCAAACTTTTCTTTTTCGAAAATCCTGAAATTGTATAAAAGGGAAGAATATTAACTGGCCTTTTATTTTTTCTGAATGAAGACGCGCTGGAGCAGCACCTGAGGAGCCAACGTTAACACTGTATCAAGCAGCTTTAAGCAGCCTTTATCTAGGATGTGGGCAGGTTGATTCATCTTTGGCAGTGATTTGTTATGTATCTAAGGAGCATGAGTGAACTGGGTGTGGGCTGAGGCTGGTGAGTGTACGTAGGGCTTAATTTTAGCTCATAGCAAATGACAATGATCACAGAAGATTTAGCACCTCAGTTGACACCTTCTCTGGCTCAGAATCATCTGTCTGCCTGAATGAGAAGGGCATAATATTGGGTAACTTCTCTGTGATTGCTCCAGGACCATAGTTAGCTCCTAACAGGTTAGGCTGCTGCTTCTAAGTGAGTTTTTCTTGCTTGAGAGAAAATTCAGGATTGAAAATGAGACTAAAGCCTGGAGATATTTTATAGTACGTAACAGGTGTTTGGTTTGGGAAAAAAAGCTACTTAAAAGGTCAAATGCATATTATTCCCTCTTAACTATTAGTTTCTTACTATTTAAGGGTTGGTTTTTTATTGTTGTTTGTTTTTTTAAGCACTGACTATATTTTTTGGCTTGACATGGTGACTTCTTCTAGGTTTGATTTTTCGGTTTTCTTAGTAGAGATTATGGTTTCCTCCATTATTTCTGCAAAGCTCTCCTCTATCTGAGAAGCCTTCTTGGAGGCCACTTTAGAAGCTTCCTCTTCCTTCTCCTCTTTCTTAGACAATATAGGAGGTGACACTTTTGAGGCAGTTGAACTAAACATTCTGGATGATACCAAATAACCAGGATTAGGAGGTGGATTCAGCCCTGAAATGGTCATTCCACCAGCACTAAATCGGGTCTCTTCACCTTCTAGCAGCTTCCTGTGAATGCAACAGAGAGAAGGATTAACAGAAAATGTCACTGAGAGGTCAAACCACCACCCCAAGCCATTCAGAAAAGGTTCAATTGGACTTTGTTTCCTGACTCAAAGTCAGGACTATATACTTGAAAAAAATGTATTTTGTATCACAGTTAATTATAAATGTTCTATGTCTCCCCAACTAAACTATAAACTATTTAAGGGTAGAGATTATTTTTTTATTAACATCTTTTTCCACTTTCCTAACATAAAGTCTCACAATTATTCGCTGAACCAGAATCTGAAGACACAGAAGATTTATGGTGGCAAGGAAATGGAAACTAAGAAGGTACCCATCAATTGGGGAATGGCTGAACAAAATATATATGAATACAATGGAATATTGTTGTGCCATGAGGAGAGAGATATGTGGCACAGTGGATAGAGCTCTGGGCCTGGAGTCAGGAAAACATGAAGTCAACTCCCGCCTCAGACACTTAATAGCTCTGTCACTTTGGGCAAGTCATTTAACCTCTGGTTGCCTCAGTTTTTTCAACTATAAAATGGGGATAACAAAAGCACCTACCTCCCAGGGTTGTTGTGAGGATCAAATGAGATAACATTTCCAGACACGTTGCAGGTGCTATATAAATGCTAGTTGTTGTTGTTGTTATTATTATTATGATAAGAAATTATTAAAGTTAGAGTTTCAGAGAAGCCTGTGAAGACTTGTATGAACTGATGCAGAGTGAAATGAATAGAATGAGAACAATTTTTACAATAACAAAATTGTAAAGACAACTTTGAAAGACTTAAGAGCTCTGATAATGCAGAGATCTGTGAGGGACTGTCTGATGTTGGCAGCTGCCAGGTTGGGTGCTGTGGCATGGGTAAGGTAAGATCTGGGTATTTTGGAAGTCGAGGCAGGGACTGTGGTAGGCAGAGTCGTGTGTACTGGGATGGGCTGGATACGGAGAAGCCATGAGGCAATTGGGCAGTGCTATGAGATAAGCTGGGTGCAAGGAAGTAGCCGAGCCTGAGCTCCTGAGGCAAGGGGCGGTGCCACGTGGGAGTGGGATGGCAGAGGACTGAGTTCCCTCTGCTTAGTCCCCTCCCTATATGCAACGTCATCCCCAGATGCCTCTTGTGACCTTCCTGACCTCCGGGTCCCTTTGTGCAGCACTGACCCAGTCCCCTCCTGAGTCTGACTTCCTAGGTCACGTACTCTTGTCTATGCGTCAATCCCAGATGCCTCCTTCCTGTATCCAATCCTGGCCTCCTACGTCACTCCCTCCCCCTTGGTGTGCTAAACTCAGACAGCCCCTTCCGGTATCTGACCCTACAATCATTGGCTAGTAGTGGGCTGGGGAGGAGGGGCTAAGTAGGTACTTAGGAACAAGCGTGGTCAGATCACACACGTGCGCTCTCCCCTGGCTCCTGCCCTGTTGCTCTGGCCTTGCTGCTTGGGCTTGCTATGATGGTTTGCTGTGTTGGCCTCTGAATAAAGCTCTGGTGTTGGTGCCTCCCAATGGCTTGTCTCTGTGTGGTGATCTGGCTCAGAACCGAGGACCCAGGCGTGGGTAAGACTCTGGTGGTGTACTTCTTTTAAGGGAAGTAGGTACTGGCGCACGACTGGCAGAAGGTCGGCGTGCGGCCCGTATAGAGATCAATTACAATTCCAGAAGACTCATGAAGAAAAATGTTATTCATGTTCTCACATAGAGGTGATAGACCCAGGGTGCTGAATGAGACACTATTTTCTGGACATGGACAACGTGGGAATTTTTTTGCCTACTTACATCTATTACAAGGACTAGAATGGCATGACTAAAATAGATTAGACTTAAGGGGAGGCAGAGACAGAGGTATAGGCCACCCAAAAATATTTCATTAGGACTGTTGGCATTGTTATATATTAACTTAGCCAACAGAAAGAGAGAATATAATCAAATATCCACATTGGGTTCATGCTTCTGGTGACCTAGGGCACTCTGAGCTCTGCCCTCAAACAGCACTGACTATGAGCTGGGCATTACCTGTAAGCTGCAATCTCAATATCCAGAGCCATTTTGACATTGAGCAGATCCTGATACTCCCGCAGGTGGCGAGCCATCTCACTCTTTGTGTTCCTCAGATCATTCTCTAGTTGTCCAATGCTATCCTGCAAAAGAGAAGTCCTGACCAATTAGCCCAAGTCAACCTAAAGTCAGTGGTACTCCCCTGGGGTGTATGATTCTGGTCATTGTGGAAATTCACAATAGCAGCTATGGATTGTCCCACTCCTGGCTTGTCTCATTACATTACATCCATCCATTTATTCATTCAACAAGCACTGATTAAAAGTTCACTCTGAAATTCTTTGTTATATGGGTTGCCTCTCTGGGAAAACAAGGAAGGAGAGATCCAGGGGGAAATTGAAGTGATGTAAAAATAAAATGCATCAATAAAATTTATTTTTTAAAAAAGAGCTTATTCTGTGCATTATTCTAAATCCAAAGAGAGATATAAAGTTTTAAGGCATGGTCCTTGCCCTCATGGAGCTTACATTCTAAAAGGAAAAATAAAGATCCAATAATCACATATCCTTTCTCTACCCCACAATCTCCATCAGGGATTCAGAATCAAGAAATTCCCACTGGGATAAGAGTGGGACAGAAAGACAACAAGCCTAGCCAGGATGCCCTGTATCTTTTTCACATTTTGATTTCCTTACAATCATTTCCCAACAGCTGCTATAGAATGTCTTTACTAACAGCCTTTTATTCAGTTGGTAAAAAGAGTCAAGAATGGAATAGAAAAGCTTGTTTTAGCCAAATACTAAAACCGAATCAACACATATTTTTTAAATGTCTAGAGTCCTACTCCAAATTCTTCTAATTACAAGTCCAGGCCCAGAAAGAAACTTTGAATTTGTTGTTCATGATACTTGCTGGATATTTGAAGTCGCTAACTTCATATAGTTGTATAAGTGACTTGTTGTTGCTTATTTGTTGTTCATCCTTTGTTCTCGAAGAGGACCAATGACATCACAAGAGTGACGTCTTGACTTGCCTGTGAATTGGATTTAAATGTGGCAGAGTTGCGCAAAGTCATCAGCCTCATTCTCTCCTCCAGAATCATCAGAGTCCAGTGGCAAGACAAAAGTCAAGACAACTGTCAATGGCCCCATCAGTGGTTTAAGAGACATGGCAGATTCAACAGACTAAGTATTATTTTACAAAAAACAGTGATGCAGGTCAGTTCATGAGATATCTAAGCTATACTACACTACATTTGCTGGGTAGACTCACATCTCCTACTGCTTGGTCCTGAGTTCAACAAAGCCAGCTTTGGTGATGAAAAATATAGTTGATGCTGCAAGAAGTACAAACCTTCAAACTCTAAGAAACAGCTGAAAGGACTTAAATTACACCATTAATTATTTTATAAACAGTAGAACTCAGTGGAGAATAGACCTTGATGGCCAATAGGGATAAAAACAATCAATATTAAACCTTTAAAAGTAAATGGGGAGAAATACCAATTACTTAGAAGCAAAAAAATGCTCTAAAAGCATTAAAGAATCATGGGAGACAAAGCAAGGAAGACTCAGGCAGTGGGCATTTTATTTCAAGGTGCTACTGAAAGTGACATGATGGATTTAGACTGATACCACCAAAGCTGAAGAAATAGCTCGATAGGTCCTTTTCTGAAATGAAAATTATGTGACGGGGGAAAAAAACAACCTGATCTTTTCATGGTTAGTCTGAAATGGAAGACTCAGGACTATGATTTTTGATTTGCCTTTTTTTTTTTTAATTAGTCATGTTACACTCTTCGTAACTCCATTTGGGGTTTTCTTGGCAAAGATATTTCCTTCTCCAGCTCATTTTACAGATGAGGAAACTGAGGCAAACAGGGTTAAATGATTTGCCCAGGGTCACATAGTAAGTGTCTGAGGCTGGATTTGAATTCAGGTCCTCCTGACTCCAGGTGCAACATGCTATCCACTGCTCCATCTTTGCCACAGCTTTCCAAAATACCCTGAGATAAGAGGTTTCTCTTCTGTTCCCCCTTCCTTCTTTTCAAAACAGGAAATAAGGTGCTTTTGTATATTTAAGGTGCTTTGAAAACCTCAGATTAAAGCTACCTACTAAAAGAGCAAATCCTACCTTGGCTACCTAAAAATCTCATTCATATGGAAAAAGGACTTTCACATGGGTTCTGGATAGTATGGGGACATAAATTTCAGAATGTTATTGCTGGAAAGCTATTAAATCGAATCCCTCTCATTTTGCAGAGGAGGAGCCAATGGTTCAGAGAGGTCAAGTGACTTTTCAAAGATCACAATTAGTGATAGTGCTGAGTTTAGAAATCAATTCTTTGAGCATTCTCAACCCAGTACACTGTGCTACTTTGGTTCCCCATAACTTTTCCCCAGCTTTCCCCCTCATTTTCTTAAAAAAAAATTATCCATAGGAAATTGTTAAACCAATCATGATACATAAAAATAATGAATCTTTTTTCACTTACTTTACTTGCTTTTTTTTTGCAATATGGGTAATATGGAAATACGTTTTGTATGACTTCACATTTATGATTGATACTATATTGCTTGCTTTCTCAATGGGTTGGGGAAAGACTGGAGAGAATTTGGAATTCAAAATTTAAAAAATGAACATTACAATAAATTTTAAAAATTTAATTGATAAAAAACAAAAATGATAAAAATATTATTCCTCTATTTAAAATGACAGATTTGAGGAATTCAAAGAAATATGGAAAGAGACATAATGATGCAAAGCAAAAAAAAGTATAATTAGGACAACATCCACTATATATCCATTACAACAACATAAAAAACACCAAAAAAATTATATGTATACATACAAAAGGGGACCATAGGAGGTAAAGAGTAATATTTTCTTAAAGTATATATATATTTTAATATGATTATTTTATGTGACTTATAGGTTCAATATGATTATTAATAATTATTATAAATAATTATAATGTTATGTAATTATATTTGCATATTATATTTATATATTCTATTATATAAATACATTATATATTGTATATTGTATAAATAAAAATTATTATTTATATATTTAATATGATTATTAATATGATTAGTTGACTAATTATGTGGTTGTACTATGTTTTATCAGATTTTTCTCCCAATGTAAAACTTTCAAAGAAAATTATCTTTTAAAAAATTAAAATATATTAATCTAATAACAGTCTCTCTTAGTCAAAAGTGAATATTGTATACAAGGATAAAACATTCTCACCATAGGCACCATTTCACAAAAGGAACTGGAACCAAAGATATATCTCTTTATCTATCATAAAGTCAAATGAGAGCTTGCATGTTAAAGACAATGTAAGCCATGTTGGAAGGGCTGTGGAAACACAGTCATTCTAACATATTGTTAGTAGAACTGTGAAGTGGTCCAACCATTCTATATGTTGATTTACAATTATTTAATAAAAGTAACGACTGACTACACACTATGACCCAGCAATATTACTACTAGGCATATGCCCAAAGGAAGTAAAAACATAGAAGGAAAGATACCATATATACAAAAATATTCATAAGGAACACTTTTTGAGGTTCCAAAATCTAGAAACAAAGTGGGTACCCATCAATCAGGGAGCAGATGAACAAACTATGGTCCATGAATATAATAGAATGGTTGGTTGGTTGATCGTTGTCCTTCATTCTCAAAGGGAACCAAAATGACATCATTATTATGCTGAAAGAAACAATGAGGTGTTATCTGAGGAACTGAGAATCACACTGAAGAAAATAAAGATGGGAAAACCAGCTGGACTAAATCAAGCATACCATAGAAGAGATCCATTTTGAAGCTTTTGAGGATTGGTTTCTTAAGACATCTGAAAGATCAGAGATGTCATAGATATAGAGATAGAAGGGGTCTTCTATAGATGATGAGATCCTTCAGATGCTCTTATTTGTAAATGATACTGGATCAAGTCCGAAAACATTGTAGAACTTAATAAATGAGATCTATAATCACACACACATACGCACACACACACACAAATCTGATTTAACTATTCACACAGGGAAAATCAAGTGAATGAAGAATTCTTTTATCCCGATTGTGTTGTAGAAAATGACAATCCATAGAGCTTGTCCATTGAAGTGTGTGCACACACATGCACACACACACACACACACACATATCTTGGACAGATATTACAAATATGTGATGAACTAAGTCTAGAACTGAAAAGATGAAGGAAAGTGGTATAGACTGCCTTTGGGAAATTGAATAATTCTTTTAATAACCCCACTACCACTACTCCAAGCTTCTCCATGAAACAAAGACCATCTTTTTAATACCAATATTCTTCTAGTAACATATACTTGTGTCATGGAATATTATGGTTTTTAAAGAACTGAAGGTGATAATCACTCAAAGGGTGATGGGAAAGCACATGGTGGATGTGAGCAGATTGTAATACATTACAACAAACAAATGATGCTGGAAAAGTGGTTTAAAGGTCATTAAAGAAAGAGCTGACTACATAAGACATGTGCTAATCACAAAACAAGAGCAAGGGATAACAGGACAATCTCCATTACTATCTATGTAATGTCAAGATAAGGAAAGCCCCTAGAAAATCATGGCAGGGGGAGTGTCTTTTATGGGTATGTATGGATGTGTTGAACAGGATGGACTGGCATGAATGGGTTGTAATTGGCATTAACTAAAGGAGTAGATACATCAATGAGATACCATGAGCCATCAAAATACTAGAGTACGAAATGATTAATATGAGGAATTTAAAGAAATTTGGGGATACTAAAAGGAACTAATGCAGAGCAAAATAAACAGAACCAAGTGAACTATCATAACAACCATGGCAATATAAAGACATCAGTATTTATGCAATCACCAATGGACTCTAGAGGCCTATAGCCTTTCCTGCCACGTTGTTGTTGAGTCATTTTCAGTTGTGACTGACTCTCTGTGATTCTCTTTGGGGTTTTCTTGGCAAAGATACTGAAGTGGTTTGCCATTTCCTTTTCCAACTCATTTTACAGATGGAAAACTGGGGCAAACAGGGTTAAGTGACTTGCCCAGGGTCACACAGCTAGCATGTGTCCGAGGTCAGATTTGAACCCACAAAGATGGGTTTTCCAGCCCACTAAGCCACCTGCCTTCCTGCAGTAAAGTAGTATAAAACAGACACATAATGAGACATATGCTGTTAGACATCATCAAAGTGCTGGCATGTTTTGCTTAATTTCACTGCTTTGTTAATAAGAGCATTGTCCTTGTCCAAAAAAAAAATATGTCTCAGTCTGCATCTAGTCCATCACTTTTCTGTCGGGATGTGGCAGCATGATCATTTGCTTTTTCCTAATCTGTTATGGGCTTTGGAATCAGATATTGTATGTAAAGTGTAAGAAGGTTGTGGAAGATTTGGGAACATATCAGTGTATGAATTACAGTATATAAACTGTGGGCTTTCTGTGACATCTATTTTGGCTTTTCATGGATTTTTTTTTGTTCCCTGCCTATTTGTACTGTACTTTCTCTATAGGTGAGGTTGATGAATCATTTGAAGGTAGAAGTGAGAGTTAGGGTTAGTAACTTTAATTTGCATCAGGTGGTCTACTTATTTGTAGAGGCTTAGGTTATGACAAAAGGTGAAATTTTGCTCAGTAGCAGGAAATGCTTTTGACAGTTGATCTGACTCTCTCTTCTTCCCTCTTCTTAGTTTCCTATTTATACTTGAATAGATTTTTAAAAATACCGTGTGAAGATAACTCAGCACTTATCCTGAATAAGATAGTGTTGCCCACATGAAAAACTACTGTATAGTTTCAGTAGTCTGCTCCCCTGGGCTGTGGAGCTTCAGGCTCTGCCTGAGGGAGTTGAGTGGAAGATTTTATATCACCTTAAAAAACCTCTTTTTTAAATCACTGATACCAGCACTAAAAGCTAGAGGCTGGAAGGTGAATAAAACAGAGAAAGGTGATGATGGTGAAAAGGATGAAAGAGCAACAAGAGACATCTCTATTTATTTGGGATATCATTCTCAGCTTCTGTTGAGACCACACCTTTGTCAGATAAGAGCTGTCATTCTGTAAATTATGTCTCCCTAACCCATAAGTAATGAATTGAGGACAAGGAGGATATGTCCTTTTGGAAAAGAACTCTCCTTTCTTCCTTTGTTTTCCAGAAACAAAGGGTAAGGTATATCCAGAGTATAAGAATAAGAGAATTTCTAAATGTGAAAGATCACTCTGGGTGATTCAGGCAATGGAATTAAGTAGAACAAAGGTCCATGAGTAAGCAGAAAACAAACACATCCTCTGTCCTGGCTTGTAATTTCAAAGATAGATTTCTCTGGCTCTATATTTACATGCTGCCACTTCTCCCTTACCCCGCCCTATCACTTTCAGCAGATAGACCCCACATGCAATTTAATTAGGCTAAGCTCCAGTTTCATCCTGGTGAGAGCACAGCAGCCATTACACTTCCCCCCAGAGACTATGAAATAAGAAGAATCAGCAAAGTCTTTCAAGGAAGCAATTTCACCTCTCAAAGACCTGGGGTCACCTTTTTATTATTTGGCTGGGTCACTGAGCTCTATCTGAGAATGTCCCTTTGCTCTTCCATAAGGCTCTGCATTCATTCCAACAATGTGAAGAAAATGGGAGAAATGATACAGGGATTGAAATTCCCCTCTACAATGAATGGGAATGCTCTCAAGGAAAAGAGGTGGTTGTATTTGACTTGTGACATGCCTTAATAACAATGGTCCTTCCCTCCCTTGAGCTACCCCACCACTCCTAGTTTGTGTCACACTATTGTTCACTTGATTATATCATCTTGAGTTATTCTTTGTTTCATACATGTGAATTTTGTCTCCACAGTTATAATATAGAGATCATGACCTAATACTTCTTTTTCCCTTATATCTAGCATGGTGCTGAATGTACAGTAGGGTTCACTGTATAGTTGTTAACTTTGTTTTTCTGTGTCCTTCCCCTACCTCTATGTAAGGACAAGCTTATAAAGTAAGATGTGCATTAGGCTGCTGGAAAATACACTGACTGGTTGGTTGTTCTTTGAAGCAGAAGAAAAGGCAGTGGCATCCTTTCTTCTGCAGTGGAGGAAAAAAAGAAAAAAATATATGCAGAACAGTTGAATCTCAGTTAGGAAATCATGGTGCTTTGACTTGACCTGTTATGGAAATTTCTCGAGAAAGAAGATATTATTGTTTCTTGACCAAGGCAATAGCCAGCAGCTTCAGCTCTCCCAGCATGCCAGGTGGGCCTATGAGCCACACCCAAGAAAAATGAAATAGCTCAGGACTGCCTGTCTTAATATCTCACTCCACTCCCATGAGCCATTCCACTTAGTCCTGAAAGGAATTGCTGGGGCAGAGGGAGGAGGGGTGGGGTGGGGTGCAGCACTGCAGAGCTGCAGATGCCGCATTTTTTTTCTGCAGACCCAGGTCTGGCTGCCCATGCTATTGTGTGACCCTGAAAGCCTTTCAAAGCAAAACAGACAACCAGCATCACAAATACCACCCCTTCCTCTTTCTTTCCACCACCAGGCCAAGGAAGGAAAAGCAGTAGTTATGCTAGCCAACAGGATACCATGGTACCAAACAGAAAGGACAAGTGTCTTAAAATTGCTAGCTGGAGCACCTCCCTTTCGTAGAGTAACAAAGTTAGACTTTCAAGGGTCACCTAGTCCTTCTCCCTAGAATCTAGGAAGAAGAAATGCCGTCTAGACTCCAGTTATAGTAGCATTTCATGAATTTAGAATGCCTGGGAACAGAGCCAGATATTTAGTAGAAAGCTTGGGTTTTAGGATTTTGTGATGCAGTTCAACTTTATTTTTATGTATTCACACTAATTACTAGTGGAAGATAAAATAGAGATACTCCCCAGACCTACTTGAACAAATAACAATAATAATTTACATTTTAACATAAATAACTCACTTTACATGCATTGAATAAAGAAAGATTCATTAGAATGTAGTAGCATGTTTGCAGACATTGTTTCAAAGACCTTAAAAACAGTTTATGCTCTTCAAATAAATGGATCCCATCTTATTTACACAAATTATTTTTCTCAAACACTTTCTTCATAAACAGTGTAAAGGTGCAAAATTCAACACAAATCAGGGTGATTATCCCAAATTTATGAATTAGTGGAGGCCAAATTAATGAGGCTGTATTGTGCCCCTGAGTAAAGTCACGGAATTACCATTCTTTACTAGTACTTCTCTCCTCCCTGCCCCATACTGTTGCCTTTTGTCCCTTTCCTGGTCAACCAGACACATCCCACAGCAAATCTGAAGATGCAGTAGCCATTGTTTGCTGGGCATGGGGGAGGAACAAATAGGAAATATCTTTTCAGGAGCATAAAGGACAGGTGAAGAGAAACAAGCAAATGTCTACAATTGCTCTACAACAAAGAAGCCCCAGTCTCTGTAGTTCCGCTCCTGAGCTACAACAATCAACCAATAAATAAACAAATAAATAAGTAAAAGTCAGGGGAAAGGATGTTTTAAAACAGAATCTCACTGTGACTATGCAAAGAAAGGTAAAAGCACTAAACAAAAGAAAAATTTTATGACTCCCATGAACGACCGCAGGTGGCCAAGAATATACAGCTGGGGGTTTGGGGGGTGGGAAGGGAAAAAGGCAATTGTCTAGAGAGCCATATCCAAGACTCCACTGGTGAATGATATCTATCACTGCTTAGAGATAGGGAAATCGAAAGGGGTTAAGACTGCTACAGTACCATGGACAGCAGCCATCGCCTTTTTGCCTTTTAACCTATAGCTCTCAGCCTCCATACTGACTCTTAGCAAAAGGGCTGCCCCAGAGACAGAAATTGGGACCCGGACTCTAGGAGTGTGAAAGGCAAAGGAAAGTGAATGATCAATCACTCTTTTCGCTTTTCATCCCCACCTCTTCTTTAATATAACCACTTTTGTCTACGTTGGGAGAAGGGTGTGGTAGGCTGCTAGTTTAGTTTTTTACTCCATCGTATTTTTCCGAAAATCAATACTAAAGGAAAAGAATGGCTGCTCCTCTCTATTATTGTGTGACAACGTCCATTTTGGGAGGGGTCAGGGAGAAGAGCTGGACTTTCAAAAGGAGGATTAGGATCAATCACTTGGATAGGGGACCCTTCAGTCGCCCAAGGTACAAGCACAAACCAGTGTTAATGGACCTCCACTTTCACTCATGCAAGCCTCACTAGTGAAGTATGTAGTCCACCACTACTTACCTGCAAACCAGCCACCTCAGCACTATGCCTTTCCTCCATCTCCAGGATCTGCCTTTCCAGGGATTCATTGGCACCTCGGAGCCCTTCGATTTCGATGGTGCGTGCCTGCAGCTGGCGTCGGTACTCGTGAATCTCCTCGCGGCTGGCTCGGATGGCTTCGGTGCTGCGCGCCGCTTGCTCGTTCAAGTTGGCAAATTTAGACTTGTACCACTCCTCAGCGGATTGCAGGTTCTTGGCGGCCAGAGACTCGTACTGGGCACGGATCTCCCGCAGCGCCGAGGTCAAGTCTGGCTTGGCCACGGTCATGTCCACCTCAGCCGAGGCCTGGGACGATGCCTGCAGCGTCGCCAGAAGCTCAGACACTTCCTCCTCGTGCACTTGCCGTAGGAAGGCCAATTCATCTAATAGCGCCTCCACCTTCTTCTCCAGGTCCAGCCGTGCCAGGGTGGCGCCGTCCACATCTCGCTGCTGCGCCTTCAAGGCGCGCTCTGCGCCCTCTCTTCCGCGGCTCTCCTCCTCGCAACGCGTCCGCAACCTCTGCACCTCCTCGGCCAGCCCGTCCCGCTCCAGCAGCGCCTGAGTCCGCGCGGAGCTAGCCTCCTCAAGCTGCGTCCGGAGCTCCCGGAGCTCGCGCTGAAACAGCTCGCCAACGCGCGAGGGCTCGGCGTGGCGCTGCCGCAGTGCTGCCAGCTCAGCCTCAAGCGTACGGTTCTGGGTCTCCAGCTGGTGCACCTTTTCGATGAACACTGCAAAGCGGTCGTTGAGGCCCTGCAGCTGCTCTTTCTCGTTGGTGCGAATGATCTTGTACTCGTTGTTGCGAGCTGCTGCCTGGCTCAGGTCCAGGCTGTCGGGCCCAGTCCGGCGGTAGGTCAGCCCCAGCCCCAAAGAAGGGGAGGCGGAACAGGTACCCGCCGAGGCAACATTGCAGCGGGACAGAGACTGTGACCTGAAGCTCCCGCCACCGCTGCCCCCGAAACGCGAGGAGAGGCGTGAGCCATCCCCAAACACCTTCCTGTAGGAGGAGGAGCAAAGATAATGGTCTGAGCTGAAGCTCATCTTGCAGGTGACAGCGAGGCTACTGAGCAAAAGCCTAGGCTGATCGGGGCTCTGAGCACCCGGGTTATAAGGCGCTGGAGGCGGGGCTGGGAGGGGTAGCGTTGGAGGCGGGGCGTTCGCCGGGAACCATGGAAAGGAAATGTTCGTGGAGAAGGGAGAGCTGGGAGTGGTGAGTGATGGGATGGGGTGAGGTTTGGGGGTGGGGGAGAGTGGGGCGATGGAGAATCGCACTGCAGCAGCGCAGTGGCTGGAGCTGCGTGGTTTCTCTGGCCAAAGGACCTGGAGGACCAAGACTGCAGGCAGAATCTGTGTGCCCTCTCCTTCAAGAAGGAGCAGTCTGGCTCCCCGCCAGCCCATTTCTCCTAGCACCGAAATCCGCAGAGAAGTGACTTTGGCATTCCCACCTCCAAACCAACCTTGACCATCCCCTCAACATCGCACATCCTACTATATAGTCATTCTGCCTATGATTTGCCATGATCCTGTGGTCCCCTCTCCCCCTTTCTTTCCAAATATCCTTCACTCCCGAATTCTGGAAGTCTCTGCTCCATCAGGCTGGGGCTCCCCAATTGCAGGTAGCATCTCCTCTCAAAAGACAACACTGGCTGGGTCTTCCTATTCATACTACTAGCTCTCCCAGGGGACTATATCCACCCTTTAGATCTCCTAGATGAGGCTGTCTCCTTCATCCCAGGAGCTCCCAAACTGCAGCCAGTATCTCGCTCCCATCTCAGACCACTTATGGAGACGTTTCTTAAGAGGAGAGAAATCATAGGCATACAGCCCAAGCATCAGAAGCATGGAAGAGTCACTAAAAATGGGATGGGTCAGCATTCAATATATGCACAGATTATAGGGGATTTATGAAAGAAAAGAAAGTATCCTCAGTATGGAAAGATGGGACCTGAGAAGAGTTATTAACCAAGTATATAAAATCATGCAGGATAAGATGGACACAGATCTTTTTTCTTTAATCAAACCCTACAATTCTAGAATGGGAGTCCTTCCCTCTAGCAAAACTAAAAGGAAATAATATGCAGACACATAAAAGGAAGTACAAATTCTCATAGAATCCACTCCTTCAGTTAAACATTTATTGAGTACAGAACCCGTTCTGGGGAAGATTAAAAAGTTTAGATATAAAATAGTTCCTGCACTGATGTAGCCTAATAGAGGGATCAGACACTAGCATAGATTCCCTGAACTAGAAACTGTTAAACGATCATTAGAAGGGGCACTTAAAGTGTTATGTGGAATCCAAGAGTTTCCATTATGGATATTACCTAGACTTCAGAGAGGTACTGTGCTATAATGGGAAGAGTGCTAGCCTTGCAGTGAGAGTATCTGATTCATCCACTTACAATCTGGCTGACCTTGGACAAGTCTCAACTCTCTGAGACTCAATTCTTCATCTGTAAAGCCAGGGCATTGGACAAGATGACTTCAAAGGACCCTTCCAGCTCTGAATCTATGATCTTAAGATCCTAACTTCTAATCAGAATCAATGTCTTTAATACAGTACTTTCATGGCAATGAATGACAGTGGTTGAGCCTCAAGCCACCAGCTTCTTCCAACTGGCCAGATTTCCCTGGGGAATGCTCTGCTTCTTGGCAGTGATTGTTGTTCTTAATTTCCCTCCAGGATTGGACATATGAAACACTAAGGAATTCACATGCCCTTTGTTTAGCCTGATTCTACAATTTTTCCTTTTGTTTTCACACTTCTAGATCTCTGAATCATTTAATACTATTGACCACCTTCTCAACACTCTCTCACTGTTACCAGTGAAATTAGAGAAGTGCCACATAGAAGTGAGGACTAGGCAAAAAAATATATATTAGAATTGACATTCTCATGTTCTGGTGGTATACAGTGACACTTCTGGGGCGATTTCGGGAAGAAGAATGAGGCTCAATTCCCTTTTAGTGTATTTGTTTGCACAAACCCAGGTGGGCTTGGGATGGGTGTGGCTAAGTTTCTCAAGAAGTTTGTCTGGTGTGGATGGGAATGTCTCTGTGTGTCTTCAGTCACATGTTGAATGACAGAAGTGCAGGGGAAGGTAGAGACCAGAGGGGAGCAATGTTCAGTATCTACCTCTCGTTTCCCCCAGGTGTCTTGGGTGCTATGGCAATACTTGGTATTTGAGTTTTCCATAAAAGGCTCTGACATTAAGGTCATTAAGGTCATTCAAATACAAGTCAGGCTGCCTTCCTCATAGAATTCTCATTTATAATATATAATAATGATTACAAGGCACTTTCCCCTCAACCGGTCTATGAAGTAGGTAGTAGAAGGATTATTATTCACATTTTACATATGAAGAACCTAAGGTAGAGAGAAGTTAAATGACTTTCCAATGGTCATGCTAGTATACTTTATGGTGAGGAATTAAATTCAGATCTCCCAACTCAAAATTCAGACACTATACTACCCTGAATTTCTGATTCAAAGATTGTTCTGAGATTCATATTGAGAGTCAGACATATAACTCATCATTTTGTTTCCATTATACTTTTTCCTCTTCTGGTCTCTGCTAACTGTGATCCCTCCTTTTCTTTCAGTTTTAATGGCTCCTCTTATTCCAGCACTCAACCCTAAGTGTTCTTTTTCCCATAGAAATTTCATCCACTGCTGAGGCTTCAATTATCCTATCTATACAGATGATTCTCAAATCTTCCTCTCCTTTGCTGCAGTCATGAGCTCCACATTAAAAAATTCCATAAACTTTTATTATATGGCTCATATGTACAGCACTATGATAGGTGCTAGGTAAGAAATAGAATTACCTACTCTCATAAAGCTTATGGACTAATAGAAGTATCTCATACATATACAATTATTTGCATGAATAAAATCATAATGATAACTCATATTTGTATGATTTTCAAAAATTATTGTAATATATTTAAAATATATTAATCCTGAAATTAGTTATCTCTCACCCAACAACCTGCAATACAGAAACCTTATCTAACAATTTTTACAATACTCTGTCCTAGTAGTCACCCACCTCTCTATTGTAATGGAGGATGTGTATTTCATTTTCTCTTGTCCAGAATTGTTATTGTTTTGCTTTGTTTTTCAATTAAACTTTTTTTAATGGACCTGTGATTTCATTGGTGTAGGGAACTCCATATAAGGAAACTTTTTATGAATGTAGATAAGCAATTACTTTGTAATTTATACTCTTGGAATTAGCTGGGCCAGTTAGAGGTTAAGTTACTTGCCTCATTTCACATACAGTTGATTTTCAACGTTGCAGCCTTCAAGACTTCATGCATTCCAGTGATTTTATTAGTAACCTCATTTTCACTTTTTCATTGGCAACTGCACATTTTCATGGCTATGTGCAATAGAGACAGAGGGTCAGAGGGTCAGATGTGATATCAAGACATTGCCAATTTCAGTGTCTTCCAACAGCAGGGACTAAAGTCCTAGCAACCTCTCCCTTGGTTTTCAGAGGGCAACCAAGATAGAGAGTACCATTAATACCAAGCCCTCACACTACCATCTGACACAGTGAAAAGTAAGATTCAGGTTGGTTTTGTTTTTAATTAATTTATTTTGAATTATCAACAATCACTTCCATAAGCTTTTGAGATTTAAATTTTTCTCCTCCTCCCTTCCCAGCTCCCTCCCCAAGATGGCACACAATCTGATATAGGTTATACATATACATTCCTATTAAACATATTTTCACATTAGTGATGTTGTAAGTAAGAATTAGAACCATAGAAGGAACCACCAGAAAGAGAAAACAAAACACAATAGAAAAAAAAATAGCAAATAGCATGCTTCGATCTGCCTTCAAACTCCATAGTTCTTTCTTCTTTGTGGATAGCATTTTCTATCATGAGGCCTTTGGAGATGTCTTAGATGCTTGTATTGCTGAGAAGGGTTAAGTCTATCAATATTAGTTATCGCACAATGTGGCTGTTATTGTGTACAACGTTCTAGAAATGTTACCCCCTGCAAAAGTTAAGGATTGGCTGTAGTATGTTTCAGGGGCAGGACTTGAAGCCAGATCTTTATCTGACCCTGAGATTAGCTTTCTGTCCACCGTCCCTGTTTCCTGCATTGATCTTTCCATTGTTGTTGGTGGTGGTCAGTTATGTATTGTATTTTCAGCAATCTCTAGTGAAAGATTACAGTTTTTGGTGGTCATGGTAACCTAACCCCCTATTTCTCATAAGGCTCAATCTTTCAGTATTCACTCAGCATCAGACCATACAAGTCTTTCCAGGTTTTTCTGAAGTCAGCCTGTTCATCATTTTTTATAACACAATAGTATTCCATCACATTCATATACCACAACTTGTTCAGCCATTCCCCAATTGATGGGCATCCCTGCAATTTCCAATTCTTTGCCACCACAAAAAGAGCTGCTATAAATATTTTTGTACATGTGGGTTCTTTTCCCATTTTTATGATCTCTGTGGGATATAGCCCTAGAAGTGCTATTGCTGGGTATGCACATTTTTATAGTTCTTCGGGAATAGTTCCAAATTGTTCTCCAAAATGGTTGGATCATTTCACAATTCCACCAACAATGCATTAGTGTTCCAATTTTCCCACATCTTCTCCCACATTTATCATTTTTCTGTTTTGTCATGTTGGCCAATCAGATAGGTGTGATGTGGTACCTCAAAGTTGTCTTGATTTGCATTTCTCTAATCAATAGTGATTTAGACCATTTTTTTTATATGACTATAGATGGCTTTAATTTCTTCATCTGAGAACTGCCTGTTCATATCCTTTGACCATCTATCAATTGGGGAATGACTTGTATTCTTATAAATTTGACTTAATTCTCTCTATATTTTAGAAATGAGGCCCTTATCAGAGACACTGATTGTAAAAATTCTTTCCCAATTTTCTACTTTCCTTCTAATCTTGGTTGCATTGGCTTTGTGCAAAAACTTTTCAACTTAATGTAACCAAAGTTATCCATTTTGCATTTCGTAATATTCTCTATCTCCTGTTTGGTCATGAATTCTTC